AGGCATGAAGGTCTAGTCAGAGACATATTAGAGGCAGAAACAGGAGTTAGGAGGGGTAGAGGTAGACCTAGATTAGATTACTGTTCGCAAATAGTTAAGGATGTAGGCTGTTCTAGTTTTAGGGAAATGCGAAGTTTGGCTCAGGATAGGAATGAGTGGAGGTACGTGTCCAACCAGTCTTAGGACTGACGACCTTATGATGATGTGAGCACAGGGTAGCGGTATTACGTAGTCAGTATCAGTAATTTCTTATGCTGATGGGTACGATGTGTTGCATACCTATTTACAAACAATTCCGTTACATTTAATTTTTCAAACAATTTTTAACACACAGAAAGTGATTAAACAAATTGTTCACGAAAGTGAATTTCGATTGCATTCGAGTTCAAAGTAACTGATAGGGAGGAAGAACTTGTTCCATATACATAAAAGAAATTATGAGTGCTATTAGCACAGGGCAAAGTAGTATTCCGTAGTTAGTATCAGCAATTTCTTATGCGAAGTGTACGATGTGTTGCATACCTATTTACAAATAATTCCTTTAAATTTAATTTTTCAAACAATTTTTAACACAAACAAAGTGATTAAACAAATTGTTCACAAAAGTGAATTTCGACCACTCGAAGCAATGGTGCAGTTTCGAGCTCACAGTGGCGATAGGGGGGAAGAACTAGTGTGCATTACACAAATATTGACTGGGCTTGAACGATTTCAAGTTTTGTATTTTTTTCAAACAAATCTTGTCTTCAGATATTAGAAGACGTCCAGTAATTATGTCAGGTCAAATAGGGGTGAGGAGTCTGGCAACCAAGGGGTAGGGAGTGCAAAGTTACAAAAAACACCTCACGTGAGATCAATAAGAATGGGAGGGGTCCAGCAATTCAGTTTAAAAAAACGCTTCACGTAAATACGCTTTCACCATTCGTTAAAGAAATATAACTTGTAAGTGTGTAATTAATAAATAAATAATAAACACCTCACCTAATTATGCCTTCAACATTCGTAACATTATTTCAAAATAAATACAATATCTAAATTCGTAACCTTAAGTGAACGTTTATACACTTTGTTAGGGGTAAATAGGAGATGGGAGGGAGTCCAGCAAAACCTCACCAATGGGGAGGGAGTTAAAAGTTAAAAAAACTCTTCATCTAAATACGCCTTCATCATTCGTAACATTATTTCAAAAGAAATATATCTAAACACCTAGTACAATAAGGAACTTTCATGGATTACATTTCAAGGTAAAAAGGGGATACTAGGTGTCCGGTAAATTCTCGCCAAAGGGGAGGTAATCCAAAGCTTAAAAAAACACCTCACGCAATTACGCCTTCAGCATTCGTAATATTATCTTAAAATAAATACAATGTCTAAATATTTAATATAATGGGGATGTTCATTGATTACGTGAGGTCAAAAGTGGGGAGTTACTGGTCACCCTGTAAAATATTAGGAATTATGAATTAGGTACTAGGACTAATACAAAAAATGACTTGCGATTGGTTGTGACTCGTTACTGACCTTCACCGTTACACAATTTGTATAGAATTATGTACAATTACTTGTATTACGATTGTTACAAAGTATATGCAGGTAGATTCTACAATAGTATGGAATAGACAATAGTGTATTGTATAATAGTGATAATAGTAAAGCACAAGTATTTTTTGTTTAGTCATGCAACCTTCGAAAATTCCGGTAAATATGTAAATATAAGTAGATACTCTCTTAACTGTGGAATTGCAACACTCGTTATGCTTATCGTTTCTATTTTACTATTTATCGAATCATTCTGTAAACACAACAATATTTGAACTGATGAAGTAACTTATTTTGCTAATTTTCGGCCTTCACAGTCACCCTTCAACATATAGAAAATATAGGTATTTTTTATTTTTTTATAGTTTACATTTAATTATTAAAAACAGTAAATTTTAAGTACAAGACAATAGTCAGATTTAAAGCAGTCTCATTTTCATCTCATTTTACCTATAANTTTAATAATATTTAAAGAAAAGTTTTTTAACAGTTAAGAATTTAAACTTTTTTGGTTCAGCTTTTTAATTGTCCTAGCGTTTTGGGTGAGTAGATCAACCACGAAGTGCCAAAAATTACGTTATATTTTGAATGGAAAATCTGTACCATATTATTGTATTTATTTGCCTTACTGCACTTAACGATCTGTCTTTGGTTACTAAATACGACAAAAACATAATAAAAATAATACTTTTTCGTACGGGTACCTAAATCCTTAAATAATATTTAAGAAGTCGAGGGTTGCTGTTCGAGGAGATCGTATAGAGCTGCTATGTAGGATTGGGCCATTTGAAGCGTTTCGTATTTCGACAATTGCCTGTCGTGTCCTAGCTGAGGCAGGAAGGTCCTTAATCTATCGAAGGCTTGATTGAGATGTTGCATTCGTCGTCTTTCTCTCGCGTTTGCGGCCAGTCTTCGTTTCTTTAAAACCATAGGTGACACTTGATTTTTACCACGCAAACTTCCTCCCACAGGTTCGGGACTGGAGCTTTGATAGCCGTCCGACAAACTGTCGTAGATCGATCGGGAACTGTTGGTACCATTGCTTGGCCATTCGTTTTGAAACGAATTTTGTTGAAAATGCGGCACGTTCAGCATGTAAACGTATGTCGTGTAGGCAGTACTTGCGTTTTCGTCTCGATTACTCAATTCCATTGCCGATAACGATAAGTAATTGATTGATGTTCTGTTATTTTTTCGCACGCACTTTTTCGAATATTTCTCACGAGTTCTTCGACGCACCACGTGTATTATATCTTTGTACCGCAAGTACGTGTTGTGTATATGTCGAACAGGGCGAGAGGTCGCGACAGGTTCCGAAAAAGAACATCCAATAATCGCAGGATTACGGACAACATTGAATCCTGCGTGCTACCTGTTGTGACTTTTAAAGGGAAACGTGGTCGTCCGGCACCCCCGACCGTCCTATATCCTGCACCCCAAGTCGCAAGTCGCGTGCCAGGCTACCAATAGCATCGCAGAGGGTAGACCCAGACCGACCGAGTCCCTCGAGGCAAATCAGCGCAACTCATCTGCTTGTTCCCCCCCACCCCTCCCAAAATAATGTAATGATGTCGGTGTGAAATTATTTATCGAATCATTACACTTAAAAAATTAACTTGCAATAAATAATTCCTAGCGCTAAACATTTAACATAATAACTGAAAAGATAAAAACATCCAAAAGGCATTTTATTTTGGAATCGTTAAAGCAAGCGATGACAATTTTCCATGAGCTAGAAAAACAAACGTCGGTTGGATTAAAATCAAAATGGCCAAAGCCGAAAACGACACTAATTATGAAGAACATCAAAAATGTAATTAATATTTAGCACCTACAATCTCAAATAGGTAAAACAAAATGAAGAAGAAAGTTAGGGTGCCATTAAGACGAAAATCTGGCTAATCGTAAGTCAAAAAAATCTTTTCATACCACAACTACTGCGTTATTTATTACCTTGGAAACTGTATTGTAAACATCCTTTGCATTTACGCAAATGAATTTTTAATTTCTTTCGATGTGACATATCAAAATACCAAGTTAAATTTTAAAAAAGTTTACATTTATACCCGATATTTTTTTTTTGTTTTTTCGGAATGTCACAGTTGCTAGTGGGAAAATTTTTGACAAGGATCATCGCAACGACAATAACAAAACCGTTTATCAGTAAGTCGACATTAACTACGACAGCATCGCCTTTGAGAAAAGAGATAATTTACAGAGATGCTCTAAACGCAGCGATCGACGAAGAAATTGAAAGAGACGAGCGCGTGTTCATTTTAGGAGAAGAAGTTGCACAGTACAACGGTGCTTACAAAGTGACGAAAGGTCTGTGGAAGAAATGGGGCGACAAAAGGGTAATAGATACCCCGATAACCGAGATGGGTTTTGCCGGATTGGCGGTGGGCGCAGCCATGGCAGGTCTTAGACCAATTTGCGAATTTATGACGTTCAACTTTGCCATGCAAGCGATCGACCAAGTGATCAATTCGGCCGGTAAAACATTCTACATGTCCGCGGGGATCGTCAACGTCCCGATAGTGTTCAGGGGCAACAATAGTGCGGCGACGGGCGTCGCGGCGCAACACTCTCAATGTTACGGCGCTTGGTACGCCCATTGTCCCGGATTAAAAGTTGTGGCACCATGGAGTTCCGAAGATGTAAGAGGTTTGTTCAAATCGGCCGTTCGCGATCCCGATCCCGTCATCTGTCTGGAAAATGAAATTCTTCTCGGCCAATCCTTCGAAACTCCGGATCAAGCCCTTGTCAAGGATTTCCTGATACCGATCGGCAAAGGAAAGATCGAAAAACCTGGCAAACATTTGACCATAGTCTCCTTCGGAAGGGCGCTGAATGCGGTCATACCGGCCGCTAAGGAACTCCAGTCTGGTGGGATCGACGTCGAAGTGATCAATTTACGTTCGTTGAGACCTCTCGATTTCGACATGATCAGTACATCGGTGAAAAAGACGAATCATTTAATAACAGTCGAATATGGATGGCCCAGTTGCGGCATTGGATCTGAGATAGCCGCGAGGGTTATGGAAAGCGAAGCCTTTTTCCATTTAGATCAGCCTGTTATCAGACTGACTGGGGTCGACGTTCCAACTCCTTATGCCAAGGAACTCGAGGATGCATCCTTCCCTAGGCCCCAAGACGTTGTACAGGTCGTTAAGAAGCTACTCAGCAAATAATCCACTATTTTCAAGCCCTTCAAGTCCATATTGTGAAAATACTGGGTCACATCGAATATTCGAATCAAACTGGTGTTAAATAAAATAAAAAAAAAAAGGAAAAGTAGAAATGTATTTCATGACGATTAAATATTCGCTAATATGATTTAATCAAGCAAAAGCCGATATATTGTGAAAATGTACTTCTAGAGTATGCAACCAAACGTACGTGAGTGTATCAACGTATGCAGATATATTGTACTCCGTTGGAGCTGGTCTGACCCTATGCCCACGACCCCACGATATCGACACGAGGAGACGACAGACGGTGACGACGCCGCCACCACGACGGCATAGTTATTATTATTGACTTAGTGATAACACATATGACGTAGAAAAGAAAGTGGAAAGGAGAAAACGACCCAAATCACCTTGAAAAATCGTCGTCGTGTGTGTACAGTAAGTATAAAACAGTCTTAATTATATGTTTCATTAATCAAGTAATTTTAGAGAAGTGGTACGAAATGGCCCGCGTCGCAGCCGTACGAATGCTGAATGCTGTTACATCCAAATATGCGAATACTAATTGCAGGACGTTGTCGATGACTTCGGTTGCGAAGGCCAAAGAAGTCGCTGTCCGAGATGCACTTAACGCAGCCCTCGATGAAGAACTCGAACGAGACGATCGTGTCTTCCTTATGGGAGAAGAGGTAGCCGTTTATGATGGAGCCTACAAAGTATCCAGAGGCTTGTGGAAAAAGTATGGAGACAAACGCATTGTCGATACCCCCATAACTGAGATTGGCTTTACTGGTATCGCAGTTGGTGCAGCCATGGCAGGTCTCAGACCTATTTGCGAGTTTATGACCTTCAATTTTGCCATGCAGTCCATTGATCATATATTAAATTCGGCCGGCAAAATGTTTTATATGTCTGCAGGTAGAGTGAATGTACCAATTGTGTTTCGTGGTCCTAATGGTGCTGCAGCAGGGGTGGCTGCACAACATTCACAATGTTATGGAGCATGGTATGCGCACTGCCCAGGTCTTAAAGTGTTATCTCCTTATTCAGCGGAAGATGCAAGGGGTTTATTGAAATCTGCAATCCGCGATCCCGATCCAGTTGTTATTCTTGAAAACGAAATGTTGTATGGTGTTAAATATCCCCTTTCTGACGAGGCCTTATCCAAAGATTTTCTGATACCAATTGGCAAGGCTAAAATTGAACGTGACGGTACTCATGTGACGATCGTATCGCACTCGAAAGGGGTGGAAACGAGTCTCTTGGCCGCGAAGGAACTTCAGGCAATTGGAATTGAAGCAGAAGTGATTAACTTGCGTTCTCTACGTCCTTTAGACTTTGAAGCTATTAGTAATTCTGTAAAAAAAACTAATCATTTAATAACAGTAGAACAAGGTTGGCCAAGTCATGGCGTAGGCGCTGAAATTTGCGCGCGTGTCATGGAAAGCGATACGTTTTTCCATTTAGATCAACCGGCGATCAGGGTCACGGGGGCGGACGTCCCAATGGCGTATGCAAAAGCTCTTGAAGATGCCAGTTTACCATCTCCTGCCGATATTGTCGACGTCGCAAAAAGAATTTTGTCAACGTGAATAATTTTTGGTCAGTCGAACAATGTACATAATATGCGATTTCTTTGTATAACGCTCTATCTACTAGCAATAATTATTAAGCTCGAAACGCGTGACATATCGAATGTAATATACCGGATGTTCACTTTTATTTCTAGTAATCGTCCAATTTCAATTGTACATATGCATAAACGGGGAAAAATTGTGAATACTCAATAAAAGAATTATATTGCCCCTATTGTTTTATTGATTATATAGATCTAAGGGTTCCATTTATAAATGTTACCTCAATTCGTTTGAAATTTATCCTAGAGTTTGACCAAATTAATTATTCTTAAAGTTAAACTGTCCAATTTGCGAAGATAACAAAATTCGCAAAATTGACAAAGAAAAAACCAATTCATTTATTTTCCAAAAAATAAGTGAAATAATTTAACTATTATAAACACTAATTAGTTTAATGAAGGATGGTAAAGTTACATTTTGATATAATCCAGCACTATGTGTTTATAAAGGACAAATTAAAAAAATACATGCTCTGTGCAATGTTAACATATACAGTAGATAATTAAACTCTGGAAAGTAAATAAGTTTTATTTTTTAGTTAGGTTTTGGACCATTTGCCTGAATATCTTGACTCCATTGCCATTAGTTTCTTCATATCCTGGTGCAGTTGACTTCACCTTGGCATACCATTTTTGCACATTCTTATAAGGAGATAGGTCAAAGTCTACAGCTTCATAAGTAGACACAGTTGAAACCAATGAGAGATCTGCCAAGGTAAGATTATTACCAACAGCATAGTTCTGCCCTTCAAGGAATGTATCAAGGAATTTTACGGCTTGCTTGCATTTCTCCAGTTTGGCTTCATCCTTTGGAGCTCCAGCGAAAATCGTTGGATACTAATTATGAATATAATATGAAAAATTAATAAAAAATGGATTTCTTATCTTTATAATATTTCATTATCTTTGTATTATTAATTTACTTAATAGTAGTTAGTAACAAAAATCAACTGTTTTTTGTTTTGGTACAGAATGTGCTTACATAATAATCAGAAAATGTTTGATACAGAGTTGCAGCATCAAAGAATAATCTCTGATCTATGACTGCTCTAGTTTTTGGATCTTTTGGATACAATGAATCATTCTTGCTGTATTGATTAGCAAGGTAGGTCATTATTGCCCTACTTTCCCACAATGCAAATCCATTATCGACTAACGTGGGTATAGTATGCTGCGGATTTATCTAAAATTAAATTAAGTTAAAGATAATGAGTAAAAAGAATCATATTTGATAAAATTAAAAAAAAAAAAAATGAGGATAATTTTAGATAAGTTAAAAGATTACTTAAGTTAAACAATATTTAAAAGTCTAAACTACATTTGCTTGTTTGTACAGCTGTATGAAAATAATGTTATCATATTTTTCCGGATCCTTCCCAGAACGCAGCAGCGTCAGTTCATCATCTGCGCTATTTTTATAATCCCATACCACATATTATTATTATTTACATTTACATTACTATTATGGTCGACGCTTTTGTAAGCCGGAAAGTGGAAAGGGTCCGATAGATGCTACACATAATACATACTAAATATATACAGTATGTACAGTAATATGTACACATATATATATATTGTACGTATTACAAAAAAAAATGGTTCTTTGGTTTCCTTACTTTCAGAAATTCCGGTGTAAGATGCTCCCCCTTCATCAAATCTAAGTGTTTTAAATTTAAATCTACTCCAATTGCTTTTGCAGTTAGCAATACATTCCTGCATGGAGCACTTCCAGGTAAATAATACAAATCAATCGGCATTTTCCTGTATACACAAACAATTATTAATTATGTCGGCTTTAGTAAAAAAACTTACAATTTTTCTCTTTTGACGATGAGAAGAAGTACCACACGAGTTTGATCTAATACTGGCGTTAATTAATTTC